ACACTCACTCACCCACACACTCACACACACACACACACACACACACACACACACACACACACACAAATGTGCGCATACACAAGTGAGCACACTCCCACTAGTATTTGTAAATATTAAGCCGCAAAACGACTATTTAAATATGAATTTTGCGTGCCTTTGTGTTAATGAATGGCACAGACGTGCGGTTTTGATTACTACTCGTACTGAAGCACGCGTGACGTTTGCGGTGATATTAACTTCTGCCGTCTCACTAATGAGGACATAAACACATGAACAACATCTCCAGAACTGCTCTGAGAGTCACTTCATCAGCATTTGACCGTTTCATTCGAGTAAAACTATCCTCATATCATATAAACACAGAAATGTAAAGGTATTCACGTAAATCCGTCAAAATAAAAGTTTGGTTTAACTTGAAGGCATTGCAGCAGAAATATATTACTATTGTTCAGCAGAATGTACGTAATGGGCTGCTACTACTATTAAAATGATTAAAACCTTATTTTTAAGGAATAATCATACAATATTTCTTCAGTGTTTTAATTGTAATATTAAATTACCTTTATTTTCCAAAAAATTTTATTTGTTTAATTTTCATTAATTAAAAGATAGATTAAATGACCTATGCCTTTGGTCATTTAATGACCAAGTTTTATGCCTTAAAAAATGTAAATACACAACACAGAATTTCTGAGCAAAAATCATAAGGCTATTGTAAGAATAAATTAAATTTTTATGCTTTCAAATAATTATGTTTATGAGGACACAAATTTGCTTGATGATGTGTAAGACTACATTATTACAACATGATTTATGAGGACACTTTTTTCAAAAGGCTTAAAAACAACATTAAATAGTGTTTTTTGTATGCAGAAGTGTTCTTTGAGGGGTAGGTTTAGGGGTAGGGTTGGTGTAGGGCGATAGAAAATACCGTTTGTACAGTATAAAACCATTACGCCTATGTCCCTGTAAACCATAAAAACCAACGTGTGTGTGTGATTGTGGGTTTGTAAATCTGTGTTTTGCATCCGTTTCTGTGATGGTTTTGTTTAGTTGTTGGGTCATGAGAAAATATCATTAACCTTATATAAAAGTCTGTCGGATGAGCTCAGTGATATAGTGAACATCAAGTGTGTTTTCTGTAGATCAGAGGAAAGAATATGCCGACTCCATCAACAGACAGATGCATCAGTTCCAGCACCGAGTGGAGGTGAGGATCACTAACTCTTCATCTTCATCATCTGAGCTGTGGTGTGTGACTGTGAGTCTGTGCTCCGCAGCATCTGTTCACCTGTGAGCTGGACGGCCAGCAGCTGAGTGATGTGAACGACTGTCTAGAGCGGCTGAAGTATCTGGACGCTACGGGCCGAGTGTGGGGTCAGGACGTCCTGCTGGAGGTGCGGGACGGAGCGCTGCTGCTCGCCGACATCGAGACCCAGGTCAGGACAGCATCTCAGTAACATGACTGTTGAGTAAATGCATAGAAATTAATTACGTTGTTATTATTTTTTTGTGTGTATATATTGATTGTATTATATATCATTTAAATACTCTATTTTATTTACGTTTACATTACATTTAGTCATTTAGCAGACGCTTTTATCCAAAGCGACTTACAAATGAAGACAATAGAAGCAATCAAAATCAACAAAAGAGCAATGATATACAAGTGCTATAGCAAGTCTCAGTTAGCTTAACACAGTATAGCAAGGGTTTTTATAAATTATATAATAAATAAAAAGAAAACAGATGGAATAGGAAAAGAATAGATCAAGCTAGTGTTAGAGGCCTTTTTTGCTTTTGTTAATTGTATAATAAATAAAAAGAAAACACATAGATAGAATACATATATGATAAAATAATATACATAATATATTATATTATCATAAAGATTATGTATATGAAATATGTTTATGTATGTATTATACTCTGAAAAAAAATCATATTTATTATTATAAAATAGTATAATTGTATATTTAATTTAAATTGTATTAATTATAAAGATTATATCCATATGAAATCAATCAATATTTTATATACATATATTTTTATATTATATATATGCAAATATTTAAATAGATTATAATTATACAGTATGTATTTAATGTATCTTAACATATATTAAATAATCGTTAATTATCTACATATGCATATATTACATATTTATGTGTATTTTTATTATTGGTATATTATATTATTTTTTAACATGTATATGTATCATCAAATTTTGTATTTATTACTAATTATTATTACTAATAATCACTAATTGACAGTGTGCGGGAATTGTTTTCTTTTTCCTTGTATCTATTATATGAAAAAATTAATTTATAAAAAGTATATAAAGTGTGTTGAGCTGTAATATTCATACAGTTTGTCATCTAAATATATCCAAGTTGAAATATTACATTTAAATGTCTAAATAATTTATGCAATTTATGATATCTAAAAGTCTTAGCACCTAAATATATCTACATTTTGAATCTTGATATATCTAAATATTGAAATGTATCTAAATATTAAACTATAATATTAAGCGATTTATTTATGTAATTAAAAAAAAAATTATCTACATATTGAATCATAAAATATTAAACTTTAATATACAATTTAATATCTAAATATCTTAATCTAAATATTAAATCTAGTTATTCAATTGCATTTTTTACAATTGATTTGATATCTAAATATCTTTATATTATTTCTGTACATTATTAGACGGCTCTAGATGCTCATCTTTCTCACAGTGTTGTTGTTGTTGTGTGTTCAGGAGGTGTTGGAGTCGTGGCCTCTGAGCAGCGTTCTGGATCTGAAGGCCGTTCTAGGCGAGAGAGTTTACGACTCTCTGCTGATCGTCTGCATTCAGGAGCGCGGTAGTCGCGCAGTCAGCGTCTTCCTCTTCCAGAGCGAGTCTCTCAGGGTGAGTTTATGATTCGGACGAGTTCAGCATCTCAGCGCTTCTCGCAATAAACCGCTTCTGTGGTTTTCATGTGTTCTTCAGGCTGATTATCTGAAGAAAGGCCTGGAGCGGCTCCTGCAGAACAAGAGAGACGATCACAGACTGACTAACTCCAGGTTAGAAGATGGACATCAGCTCATCTCCTCATTAATCATCTTCACATATCACGCTGATGACATTTGTGATTTGATTCTGCAGTAAAGCCGCTGTTGGAAACGTCACACGGAGAAACTCACGACAAGCATCTTCTCCACCTCAGCTGATCCTTCAGAAACCACCCGAACCCTGGGCCGCTCCGGATTATGGTGAGGTGACCAGAAAACATGGTGCATTTTCAAGAGAAACCGTATTTAGTGAAAAATAATGTACCTTTCCTACCTAAAGCCAGTTGTTTGTCTGTGGTCCCCAGATGAGAGTCCGGTCCCGCCTCCTCCCGCCTCCAGAAATAACTCCACCTACATTAAGGTAGTGGCTCCGCCCCCTCACACAGAAGAACCGCCCATTATACCGGACCCGCCCCCTCCGCGGCCGTACACGGAGAGGGAGAGGAATGTGGTAAGTGTTGATTAGGCGTGTGCGATATATATATCGTCCACGATAATATCGTAATTATTGCTCTTAATGTGCGATTTGACATCGTGCAAAAACATTCAGAACACACCTACAGATTGCATGCATGCATTACGTGAAGTCTAGACCAGTGAGCGTTTCTTTCACTGCATGATTCAGTCTATTAAAATACATTTAAAATGATCACAAATTCAAGACATGGGGGCAGAAAATATATATTTATAGCACTTAATAAAGTGAATCAAAATCACACGAAGAGTGCCGTTTTTGTCTCCAAAAATTACCATCATTACAAATGTGATATTGATTTTTTTTACAACAGTTCAATAAACTAGAAGTTTATTAAGAAACTTAGATTGTAGACACCATATTGCCTGTTTCTGCTCTATTTCGACAACAAAAATAATTCCAAACAAAGCCACAGCTGTTTTGCGTCTCTGAGCAACTTGACAGTGATTCGTTCCTGAATGAATCAATGGTTTGAATGATTCAGTTCAGTCGCAGTGACTCACTTATTAACAGTGACTTGCTGCCACCTACTGGCGGTTTTAATTGCACAATTAAAGTCTTTTTTATTATTTAAATAATTTCAGATATCAGTATTCAA